ATATTTCTCAGATCGTTTGACAGATAATAAGCACTTGAGAGCGTTGTAAGATTTATGAAAGGGAGTGTACGACGCGTACCGTGTGCTAGTGCATCGTCGAGTGGCTTATCGTGATAATTACAGCCAGCTGCTAAGTTGATTCCATTGCCGCTAGCACCCGTGATCGCGATTAATTAGACCACCTGATCACGCCGAATCTGTGAAAGGGGCTGGGAACGTAATCTAAAATTCTCACGTTTATTTTCACAGAAATTTATTAATAACACGATCTAGCTAGAAGCATACAATCGTGCTGCGCAAATTATTTTCGCATTTGCTTTACAAATTGCACGGCGAAACTCTCCTCTAATTCTGTATGCAGATGCACTCGAGAAAGCTTGTACCGGAAAACAGAAACTATTGTTAAACGCCCCGGTAACTTTTTCGTGAAACAGCATTGGAAATTGTTTTTTCATTCTCCATCCGATCTCCTGAGATGATTTATAAGGACTTTGAACCAAACCCTCGACCGTTGGTTAGGCTCGTTGAAATATCATGAATATGGAAACGGTGAAGTGGAGAAAGTAAAACATTGACTTTTTCGAAAGCTTTTCATTTACACTCGTTTTTTGTTTCCGCGTTGCTTGTTTGCAGTGGAAACAGAACGCCGCCGTGGCGTGCGATCGAAGTATCGAACGCATTTGAATATGCATTTTATTAAGCGCGTCGCGAATTATGATCCGCAAAGTGTCGTATAAATTTTACCGATTCGTCGGACCGGCAACGCTGTTCGTCGAATTAAGAATGTTCAAGTTCGGATAGATGAAATAAAATGCATGCACGTATGCACGCGTGCAATAGCCACGTCGTTTAGATAGGTCGTAATCGACCGCGTTCTCGTATCACACACGGCATTAACGGAAGCAAACGTGTGGCGTAGACGTCCACGATTTTATTGTACCCCGCACAATGCTATAGAGAGAGCTACTCCGCTTCTACCTACTTGCATCAGCATTCATACGACTGGCTGTCTCGTATCTATAACTACGCAGATACCCAGGTACATGATTGAATGTATGCACGCGCGATATGCATATCTGGATTTCTGTTTACAGTATCGGTTCATATGTACCGATCGACAAATATTTGTTTACGCGTAAACATAAAATGTAAAAGAGGTAGCGCTATTATAATTCTCACTGACCCATTTGTGTCGTGTACGTGCAACGATTGATACCGTTCAGAGTTCTCCAGTAGAATCAGTGAATAAACGGTAATGGTGTCAATGATGATAATGACCAAATGAATCGTGCATATGGGTTAAAAGAAGATCGACGGGACTCTTATCTCGACCCGGTTCCAAGTGATAAGTGTCAATAGATGGCGAGGCGGGCATTGAAGCGGTTCGATTTTCCTTCTCCCAGTTTCACCGGCATATTGATCTGACTGTAACAGCGTTTAAAAATACCCGACCGCAGACGCCGGTAAATTCGGCTCACGCGTGGCGTCGCGGTGACAGAAAGGAAATACAAGTTTTGCGACCCGGGCATGGGAAAACCGGCGTGCGTACAGAAGGTTTCCGAATGGAATTCGTTACCGATTCATAGGGTACGACGTTTTCTGATTTTCGCGTATACAGATAAACGAAGGCAACGCGTCGCGCCACTCGACTCGTTCTGCATTATTCATAGGGGATCCTCGGGCCGCAGAGTAGCGTCGCATCGCTCGCCACGCCTCGCCTCTCCGTCGGGCCGAGCTTGCGCCTTCCGCAGCGCATCTGCAAGTGTAAAAGGCGGATCATCTCATTATACCACGCATTTCCCGCCGATTCCGCTTACGATCTCGTAACGATCCCGTATCGACGCGTCCCCGAGACTTCTATAAATTACGTTGCACCTTGGATACCGTATTTCCTCGAGTTCGATCTATTTTCGCGAGATTTTTATCGGAAGACATACGGTTCCTTCGTGTCTCTCCTCGTTCACCGTGAGATATTGCTCCCTCTCGTTCGCCGCTGTCCGAACGTATCCAGAGCCACACATCATCCTCCTCGCCGCTATAGCGGAACAAACGACACCGGGAAACTTTGTAATTTATAAACTTTTATGACGCAACGTCCGTGAAACATCTGATACCCTTTCGTACACTCCTTCGATTCGTATATATATATGTATATACCGAATCAATTTTAACATGCTCCCGGGATCATCCTCTGTATCTGTTCGCCGCATGAGACGAAACTCTGCACGCAGTCGAGTACATGTACCGAGAACTTGTGCCGCTCGGAACAGAATCGGGCCAGACAATTGGCGACATACGCCGGTGAAACTCGCGTGCCAGTTCCGCGGATATTAAACTTCGGTCAGGTCGCGAGTTTCTTTCCCAGAGAGTGCATATATCGTTGCGGCTCACAAGTTTCGGACGATAAATTCTGGTTCGAAATAGGGAAACGCGCGCCATTAATCAACGTGCTACCCCGCACGGTTCTCGCAAATTGCGGCTCTTCAGTTTCGGTTATGAATAATCGTACGTGTTTTATTACCGTACCAATGTACGTTCGCGTTATTTACCCGTTGACACCAAACGCTAGTAATTCACCGGCAATTCCGCGCATTTAATCATGTTCAACCTTTCCTTCGTTTCAGGGTGAACCAATGAAATTATTGATTGACTCGGCTATTTTCATTCGCACATCTTACGACCAATCCATAGAAAGTTTCTCTTAAACGTCTATCCGTGTGAAAGATAGAGAGTACGTCAGTTTTGTAACGCGGTCAGGTGGTACGTTAGGGAGCGAAGATGGCACGGAAATCGTGTTAGCAGCGTTGAAATTGCGTGAGATTCGAAGCATGTGCTATATTACAACGGGAACACATGACGAAGTTTCCGATTGGACGCCGTGTAATCAATGTGCCATTAACAGCGTAAACCAGATCGAGTCGGCGGCGGCGGCTCGAATGCGGATTAAATGGTCAATTGCGGAAGTTCGATGATGTGCTAAGTGTTACGGCAATCTATATTTTATCCCGGCGCGTAATAATCGCGTTGGAAGAACCGCTCGGTAAAAATAATAAACTAACGTGAAAAATAATATTCCGTTAATCGGATTTACTCCCACGTAATCTGATTCCATTCGTATCGTTTAAAATTGGTTTAAATAATTTGCAATGGAATAAATTAAATTTCGAGTGAAAACGCTAATGATTTAGTTACTGGCAGAATGTACAAATTCATTTCATTGTCGTAAATGTAATAAAAATTGATGTAATATTCGCGCAATGCCCGACGCAATGTTTCATGATACTAATTTCATAAAACGGGACGTAAAACTGTCTATAAAATAAACGTCGAATAATAGTGTCGCCGGAAATATTGTTGCAATTCTCAGAGAATTGTTTTACGGCGCAGTAAACACGGTAATCCCGAAGGGACGCGGTGGAGTAAGTGTTTGTTGTAAGTCTCTCGCGTCTGCCATAATCGTGTTCACGCGGTTTCGTTCGCACGTACCCCAGACGACGACGACGCGAGGCGACTGCAACGGACAACGGCTTTCCCTAATCCGCGAAGACTAATCACGTTGGCGTCCGAGATTTCCGTGGAACCTCATTTGCGTCTGTAATTTTCTCTCTAACCATTTCCGCCTGCAATCTCTCGTAACAGTGTCCGACCGTTCCGATACTAAACTGCGAGTGTATTATTTTATCCGCAGCTCGGAAATTGTTGCATGCACACATAATACGTGCATACATGAATCCGAGGCTCGAACGGTCGTTCCTACTTTGCCAGTACGAGATACATATTCATCCGATAAATTTATACAATTGGCAAGTTATGCAACGCATTTCTCGCCGGACGCGAATTAAACTGCTGCCTTCTTTCTGATTTAGTCGATCCCATTTCAATCGAATCACGCTTTTTCCTCCCACCCTGTTCGTCGCACAAACGGATTAATGAACGCTTAAAATTAATGCCATTTAATTAAAACATTGTCACATCGTCGGTCTATTAAAACGAAAGAAAAATAACGTTACCGAAGTAGATTGTTAACCAACACGACGACGGCCGATCGATATTTTCGCAGGTTTGTCGTAATCATTCGATGGACGGTGTCTCAATGAAACATGGATCGGGATAGAGACACGAGAGCTCCGGGGTCATTGAACCGGTGGTGCCGGTCGTCCGGTGTCCACGAGTAATAGACTTTTGATACGGGCCGAGCAAATGGCACCAAGCGATAAATCAACGCTCCCGATATTCCGGTATCGCCTGTAGATTAACGCGTTTTAAATACTTTCCGTTTCCCGTCCAAGGAGATTGATGGAATCCAAATATTGCATATACAATTCGTCAGGCGCGTGTCCACGTCTCTGATTTAGGAGTACACAGGAGCAATAAGGAATATATTATAAAATAATTTATTGTATTCGGTTCGTTCGATTTTATTCGATGGACAGCGTGGCAGTAATTCTTCGTTGCGTTTGAATAAATTATAATTCATTTACTTCATTGATTTTCCAACGTAAATACCGCTCCACGGATTTGGAACAACTTTAAAGGATTAAACATTCGTCCATTGAACTCCTCCTCTTCATTTGGCTCGTGTTCCCCAGGCATTTACATTTCGCAGCTGTCTCCTCGAGTAAGAATGGATACCGAACTCGTTAAAAGTTGCGCAGCCTCGAATTCAAATTAGCGGCAAGAAACCGGGAAAATATCACGAATGTTTCTCAAAGGCCGATTCCGGGAATGAATAATTCAAGGGACAAAAGTCAAATCCACGGGCGAAACTTCTGATCTTTTAAGTGCCGGTATCGTAAATTTGTAATTACCGCGTGTAAGGTGAACACATGGATGATGATTGTTGTCCTTCTGGTAATAAATAAAAAGTTACATAAAAATCTTGTCGGAGTCTTAAACGACAAAGTCGTGTATTCCGGCACAGTAGTGCGAGTATCGATATGAAATTCCCATGTATAATTAAACGTAGTGTCATAACGAAGGAATTTTGATGTCTGTTACAGAACCTGAAGAACCAGATCATGACGACGAACCTGTGGGTCGAACAGGTGAGCGACATTAATTTTTCTCGAAATGACTTAAATAGATCAGACCGTCGGCTCGATCCGAAATTCATCTGTCAGAATTCTCACTTAATTTTAATTCGCCGTGCGAAAAGACGTCCGTTTCGTCGTCGATCACGTGCAAAATTATATCAGAGTAAGTAAGACCGACGTCGAAGCTAACGTACTCGGTGCGTGCGAGGCAGACGCTTATTTCGAGCCGAGAACTGGAAATTGCTCCGCGAAGTAATATGTAACTGCTTGTCTCGGCACTTTTCCTGAAAGAATCGAGGAGACAGTCGCTCGTAGCGGCAAATGTAATTGAAGAATAATTAAGCGAGACCAATTAACTTCCCCGTCCCTCGTTCCGCGAGCAACTTGAAAAACATCTTCAAAGATAAACTCCTGGTGAATTCGTTAGACGTATACATGCAATTTACGCCGGCGAGTTCAGTCTCGTTCTTAAAGGCGAATTAACATTCTTGCCCCGGAAATTTATGCCCCCTTTAATTGATGTTGACATGAATAATTACCCGAGACGTACACAGTTCTTAGCAGAAAATTATTTCCATATCTCATTGTTCCTGTTCCTAATTAGACCCCTTTCAATGTATAATCGTAGGAAAACCCGAATGACATCATTTTTCAATGACGTTGATAAAAGGAACTGGCTGATAAAAATTAAAACCGACGCGTCGAGCGTGTTAAACACGAAGTTTAGAGTTAATTTCCACGGTAATTGCTTTTAATCTTGTATATCAAGACAAAGTTCATAAAGCAAACTGTACGACGCGGCGGTGAAAAAAAATGCTCCTCTCCAAACCGAAAGTTTTCAGTTTCATCACCGGACGGGATTGCCTCCATGTTTTCCTTAGAATATATTACAGGCAGCGGTTCCGTCGTGATTTATATTTTCTGCGAACTCGATTAACCGCGAGAGAAACGTAAAGACGACCGAGAACAATAGTTCGTTTTTATTATTCGAGACCGTCGATTCATATTTTTGTAACTGTGGGAGCTCCCAGTCCTTTCCGATTCGTTGCACCGATAAACGAAGTTCCAAAGTCTCCGCATCTCTGAACCAGACCTTTTGTATCCCTTTCCGACGCGTACTTTGTTTTTCATCCGTTCTCCTCTCGCTTCCGTATTATTCTCCCACTTTCCCTTTTATCTTCCCATTCCAGTTTCTTCTGTCGATGAATAGCAGTCGATCAAAGAACTGTTCATAATTTACTGAAGTGGCATCGGAGAGCAAGAGGGATGTTTATAAAAATTGTATACATTTCTTTCGATTGTTTAATTCATTTCCACGTTTTAATACGCTCTCTATTATGTTTTCTCCACGATTTTTCTGTTCCTTCCGTTCGGTGTCTTATATTTTTCACCGTCTGCCTTGCAGCTTCCTGTTCTTTCACTTTTTTTCAGTGTTCATTCTCTACAGCCGGTCTTCCTTTTGGAACGTCTAAGGATACAGGGTTACAAATTTAACCGTTACCGTTCGCAGAACACGAATCGTCCCGGCACGTTCCGCGACATCGCGCTCCTTCCTTTCACAATTTTTCATTGTCTACCAGTGAAAACTAACCTCGTGAATTGCAATTCCAACTGTAACAAACGTCGTAAAAGAAGACCAGAACTTCTTTTCCAGAAAATAAGTCTGTAAATAGAAAACGATACGACGCGTTGTTGTTTCTTGTATAATAACCAGACCGCTGCAAGCTTTTATATTTTACGCGAATCGAATGTTTCTCTACGAAAGAATCCACGGTCTCGTCACAATCAAATTTGTACAATGAGAATCGACCTCCATTCTGCCGTTACGAGAATAGGTGAATTCGATGCTTTGACGCCAATAGATCAATGGCCAGCGTCAAAATTGAAGCTGGACAATTCGTATCCCAGGGTTGCGAGCCGCATCTGTCTCCGGATGTACTTACTCGTGTACGTGCGTCGGGGTGATATTCGGGCCGCGTCTCTCACCGACACGCTATCCTTCAACGTCGAAACCAGCCCCTCTTTAGCTTCCGACTAACCCGTTTGCGACAACCTGGAAGCCTCGGTCACCGCTCGGCGCAACGAGTTACGCCCGTCGCACGTGCAACGTACAATGGCAATGATTACATTGCGGATTTTCATGCGACGATGAACCGTTCGATTTAGAGAACGAGGCGAAGATCGAGAAGAGTAACGACGTTGCATTTTTGCACCTCTAATTCCTTCTATAGAATCCGCAATGTAGCAACGACGAGACTCGTTCGGACAGTGGCTCTGTTTCGAGGTTCATTCGTTTTTCCGAATCTCGCCTCGCCTTTTTGTTCCTCGTTTGCGCGAGCAGCGATTGAAAAGTCGTCCTTTGCGAGCCGGCAAAGTGTCAGTGTCGCGCTAGGAATCGAGGTCGCGATTCTCTGCTTTATTCCACCGAAAAACGAACATCGGTTCGAACATAGTACAAAGAATATTCATGTGCAAATTGATTTTCCAATAATGCCATGTCGCTTTTAAATTTCTTCGGTTCGCCTCTTACAGAGTTTCAAATTGTTTGTTCTAGCAGATTCGTCCGTTTCCCTGAATCATGAATATAACACGTTTTCGCAAAACGTCGTTGGTACGGGTATTAATAAGCGATACGTTTTCGAGTCGAACGTGAACGGTCGAACCAACGGGAACACCGAGCGGTAATTAAATTCTATCCGACTACAATTTCCATTCGGTCTAATGTAACATCGGCAATTAAATTGATCTTTGAACTGGCCCGAATTCATTACGATCTAATCGGGTAGAATACTTCTGGGCGGACCTAATAAAACTTTCATGAAATACGTACGCCCGATGTGACTATGAAAATTATTCACAGAGCCGACAGTTAATCCTTTCTTTATAGCTGCTGTTATTGGGTAAAAGTTTTTCAGCAATGCAGTAACGTCGAGTATACATTATACACGCGCAGTAGCATCTTCGAGGAGACTCTGCATGCCCCGTTTATCCGCTAGTTTATTACATGGTATATTTAGATCAAAAACTTGTTGCCAACGGTGGCGATATTTTCGAGCAAGATTCGAAGTATGAAACGCGGTCATTATTCCATCACGCTTCAGCCTTTGTCGGTAATAATCTCCACACTTTCAGAAGCAGACTCTCAGAGTATAAGCTCCGGATGTACAAAGTAGGTTAAATCGGTTGATAGGTTAAAGACCCTGTGTGTGGTTCTTCGAAATGTTCATCGATCCGGACGGAATTAACTTAAGTCCCAAAGTGGTTAAAGCGCACTCGTACTCGTCGGGCCGGGCACGATTATGTCAGGGTGTGAAACGGTTCGCGCACGAGCCATTGACCGTGCCGTGAAAATCATTGATCTGATTGCTCGCGCGAAAAAGAAACAGTGGCGAGCGACCTGGGAAATGAAGCTGAAAGGGTGTATAAATTAGATTTATGACCGTCGGGTCGGTCGCGCGTAATTTCGAGAATTTTTCAAAAATGCTTTTTGGCCTCGTTTCTAATCATTGACGAATTCGCTGGTGGAAGTCGATGAAGGGACTCGAGCTATTATCTCGTTTTCGGAGAAATTTGACGATTACATGCTCCTATCTATTTACTTCCTCTCTACCGCGCTCGTATTCCTCTGTTTCGTATTGTATTATGGAAAATTGCGTTTAATTGTTTTCTAAATGCGTTTTTGTGTCGTTGACACTGATTTGAAAGTAACGTTTTATAAAATGCAAACTAAGTTCAGTGGGACGAATGAATTCGTCGAGAAGGGAATTCGCGTTAATGAACATTCCTTGTAGCAAGTAAAATTCCTGTTTCCCCGTGATATCGTTGTTGACTCGACTTTCCGTCTTAATTCGTCGGAGCAGTTGTAAATTCTGCTGAATCCGAATGAATTCGTCGAAGCTCCCGTGACCCGTGTCCATGAAATTAATCTTTCAACCGGATTTAATTACGTTTAGTTTCGAGCAGCATCCAGCCAGCGCGAGTTGGAAATCTCTGACGTGCCTTCTGAAATACGTAGGCGTAGGCGTATCTGTGGTCGACAGGAATCGATACGCTATAGCCTTCTAGCAGGGAAGGCCGTGGGAGATTCACGATCACATACCGATGACGGGCGTCCCTTTTAGCGGCCAGTCAATATATCGGAAATAAATTGATAACAATAGTAGCACACCGTTGCCCTTTCTATCTACGGACACGTCTCGACTCTCTTTCCACTTTATATCTCCTTCCTGATAGTATCAGTTATTTTCCTCTTTGTTCGTTCCCGTTCGCTGCCTGCTCGCCTCCGTCCCCGTTCACCCATTTCGCTCCGTTCATCGTGGCCAACGTCCTGGATCTCTCGCGCCTGATTTTCTTCCTTCGATATCACCGACTGAACTTAGCATGCAGCTCCGCTGATAAAGTCGATCGATAGATTCTTCAAATTTTAACAGAGACGCTTTTTAAGAATTAAATCCGCTCGGGATCCGACGCATCATGATTAGATGGACAGTGAATAGAGCGTCTGACCATGCATGTGCTCATTCTACTTATGCATTCTCGATCTCGCTGTTTCTTCCACAATCGTTGTAACACGTCGGGCTAGATTTTGATATAGATATAAGTAGAGGAACTGAATGGGTAAAAAAGTTGTAAGGGACGATGGAACTATATTATTGCTTTTATCAAAAGACCAACGTACTTGATAGCTCGCAAGGTTCGCCGAATAATTTATAGCAGCGGCAATAAAGTATCGCGTAAAAAATTGAGCAACGAACGAGGGGACGTTCATCGACACGTTCGCAGCTGACTACATTTACAACTTTTCGAGAGCACCCTTAGGAAGGAAAAAGAATGACGAGCTCATACGTTTTTATGGATTGGCCGTAAAAGAAAAGGAAGTTTTAATACGGGCGGCGCGAAGATCGACTCCTATTTAGAATTCATGAATTCGCGATCCAGAAATTTTTTCCTATCTTCGCGCTTTCTAAAAGCAGCTCTAATTTCGATATTAAATATTCATGTTTCGCGTTGACGCGATTCAAGTCTATCGTATAATTCCGGGCCGACCCTGATTGCAGCAAACTTTCAAGTGTAAACTTAATTAAACGTAGGCCTCGCTCAATTATTTATCTTTGATGGAGCACGTTAATGAATTCATAATTGACAGAGTTACGCTCGCGCCCGCGTTACGGCCTTTCATAAATGTACATTTGTCTCGTTTAATAATAGAACTATGTTGCGCATTCCAATTAACTATGGTTTATTTAAACGGTAAACCGCACCGAGCACGTATACCAGTTAATTAAACGTGGCTTTTTTGTAACTTAATAATTGCAACACTGTTTCGATATTAATTTCCGGCGCAATTGAATTAATCCGGCGGAACGAGTTTTTGATTGCTGGGTGCGTCGCGCGACTACCCGAAACGACGACGGTATGTTTGTGACAAGAGACGCGGGTGGGAACTGGCGCAAAATAAGAAGTAAAAATTGTGCTACACGGACGGAGGCAATGGACCTGCACGCGACCATGCGAATGTTTACGAGCCACCGCGAACTTCAGCTAATGTTTCTTCCGGTTTTCTGGTCACTAGGCCACGAAAATGAAACTTATTGTTAGATTTATGTGTTTGCGCGGAAATTCTGCGGCGAAGAAACGAGGCGCCTGTTTTCGCCAGCGGAATCGATAAAATCTACTGCACGTCCGAACAATTAACTGCGTCACCGCCACCTCTCTGCGACACATTTCAATCTTTTCGGGTAAACGAGTCAAACGTTTCTTTTTTCTTTTTTTTTTTCATTTCTACGCGGTTGGAATTTGCCAGCAGTCTTCCATCGGTTGAACATTGAAATATGCATTTATCGAGTTCCGCGTCGGCATTTTTAATTTCCGCGCGTTCAATTATTTTATAAACGCATAAAATCGGCGGTCTGTTTCCGAGGAATATACTGCAAAAAAGCGATGGAAATTGAAACAAACGATATTTCTATTGAACGAAACAAATGTTAAAGAGTGGTAACGTTTAAACAAGAGAGAATTCAACTGTACGAACCACGTTTCTATACGCAGAACAGAATCGGGCAAAGGGAATCTCTGATTGGATCTTCTATGAAGAAATTCTCTGGCGAAGTTTCGTAGCCATCCGCGGACCCCCGCGAGATAATTGGCCACTAATTAATGGCCGCGGGGCAATCGAATTTCCAACAACTTTCTCCGAAACCGGGAAGGGATACTGGCTTTCCATCGAAAAATTAAATTACGCCCCCGCGGAAAATGAACTCCAGCCCGGATAATTCGTTCTACTTATATCCCCTCGTATTATTCGTAACGCGGCGGTAATATTTGCCAGTGTCGCCCCTCGGATAATAACAAGTCTCGAAATTCGTGTCGTTAGTTCATTTATTACTGAAACGTAAAATCCGCAATAACGTTTAATAATTGCACGGGGCTTCATTTCGTAAGTATTTTTTTCGAATGAAATTTGGGAGGATTATTCCTCTCGAAGAAACATGATCGAATCTTTGGTAACGTCGCTGGATTTAGGATTTATTTAATTTTTTAGGATTTATGGATGAGTCAGCGACGTTACCAGATCATCGTGCCTAGTCTTCCGAGGTCGCGCGTCTCTTTCTCATGCGTCTACCTGAAATCTTACCCGATTCCGTGGCACAATTTTCCGCTTTGATATGTTTCGTTACACGAGATACGTTCGGACGTTTCTTTTCGCAAGCGATTCGGTATCCACTCGCACGGCCTGGTTACGTATCGACGACCTAGAGAAGATTGTGTACCGATAAGCAACGTGTTATCGCGTCGGATACATTGCGCCACGTTTCATTTGGAAACTGATGAAACGTGGCGTGTCTCGTCGGATGAAAAATTGTTTCCGCATAGCAATTTGTCTTTAACAGATTTCTCGATATTTGCATCGGTGTTCGTCCTCGTATGAAACAGTTGAACGATGAGACGCGTCGAGTAACGGATAAATAATATGGTTATATTTTTTGTGTTGGCTGTTTCAAGTCATGGTACGATTACAAGCTGCGATGGGAGCCGAAGGAATACGGTGGGGTCCACATGCTACACGTGCCGTCCGATCACATATGGAGGCCCGACATAGTCCTCTACAACAAGTGAGTCCGTTCTCTGCCTTCTCTGTTCTATATATTCTAATTACATCTTCTATAGTTTCACATTACATACTCTATTACATATGGTAGTGGCAAAGCATGCTGCCGAGAGATACAGATCGTTTGGACGTTCATTTCTCATTCGTTTTAATCGATATAATTTACTTTTAATCCGCGAGCACGAATGGCAAAGCCGCGAGTAACGAATTTATGTCGGTTTAAACGCGTTTCACGTTCATTCGAAGTTGCTCGACGAAGACGTGGTTAATTTTCGAGTGTATTTCGCGAGGGACAAAGGGAATCGAGACGTTCCCTCGGTGCAGTAAATATCCGCTGTAATATGCGTGCGCACGTCAGACCGTGACAAACAAACGGGAAGAAGAAATGAGTGTCCACTCGACTTAACAAGAGAGGTACCATCGTCGTGCATATTGCATTTCAAAGTAGAACAGTGTATTTGATGTCAGAGTGCATCTCGTATCGCGACGTTGTTTCGAAAGTTACGGAAAAATGTGAGGTGTCGTCGACCCGACGAATTTCTACCTTCTCTCTTTCTTTTCGTTTATTATCATTATTCTTTTCGAAATCCGTGCTTCCTGGTAATGTACAAATGCGCTCAGCGAGATTCATCGACCCGCCTCTCTCGTCTCTCGTTGGTATCATTATTGCGTTGCGTGTACTCCCGTCCAATTGCTGTTGTCGCTGGTGTCTGTTTATTTAGAATACTATTTGCCGTGTACCTACCGTAATTTTCTACGGGAAATAAAAATGATCAAACCGAAATCTCGATATCCGTATTAGCTCACGTTTGTTCACAGTGATATAATAACTGGATCAGGTGGATTATCGCGTTTGATTCCCAGGAGGCTATTTATATGAAACAGAACGTTCGCCAAACCGTGATTCCAAGATCCACTGAAATTTATTAAAAACATTATTTTATTTTAAAACGATACGATCGAAAACATATTATTGAAATCGTTGTTTCGACGTCCATATAATATCGGGAATTTGCTAGTCCAGATTAATTAAAACGTATTTGCTAACCCGACTACGATCTAGTATCGACGAGACCGGAACACCGAAATATTCGTACGGATCATTAGTTTTCCATTACCGGGGATATTTTAACGTCACGTTATCAGTTGTCACTGTGTCGACGAGAATACGGGTATCGTGGATTCGTTCGCGCCTCTGCTGTGAAATAAATACCAAAAGAGAAAAGCGATAAAGAGGCAAAACCAAGGAGGAAATTAACGCAGTCATGTATGTATACCGGAAAGCTTCGCAGCTATTTTTCCCTCCGAGTCCGCGTCACATATTTGCGTAACTTTTGCCCGTTTCGGTGACAAACGAGCCAGAGCCAGCCGGAGCTTGCGTCTATAGTCTTCCTTTTTCTACGTTTTTGGCTCGACGCTCGACTCTCACGGCGAGCTCTCTACTCTCTCTATTCTCTCTCTCTTTCTCGGTGTAGTCATCGGATAGATTACTATTCATATCGCATGAAACATGGGCGCTGCGACGAATGTTCGTGTAAATGGTGAACCGGCAAACGGGCTTAGGTCACACGACGAGTTACGTATCCGCTCGTTCCGCTTCCGAATCTTTATACGACGTCATACGCGACGCCGGGGCTCCTCCTCGAACGACCGCGCGTTTACGACCGGCTTCAATCCGAACCGAACGACAGGATTAATGTACACATAAGCAGTAAGCGTAAATATTCGCGTTTGCTCCGAACCACAAAACGTTTACGGGCGCGATCGTAAAGGATCCGTGTTTGTTCTTTTCATCCGAGCTCGTGCGATGATCGGAGTTGAAATAAGGTATTTTGAGCGAAACACTTATTTAATATCTTTGAGTGACAACATGGGCCCTTATTTCGATCTGACAAAGAATCTATTCTTGAACGCATTATTTCATGCTCTATAGGAATCTATTACATTGTTTTATTTTTCATGAAAATCTACGATCACGATACGTAGGTGATACGATGCATAGGATACGCGAACGTATATAAAGTTTCCTAGGGTCTTGAAATCGCGTTCGTCCTTTTCTTCCGCGATCTCCGCTAAACCCCTCTGGCAACAGATTCCCGTCTCCGCTAACTTGATTTCTCGCGGTTCCATTAGTCTCCCCCGCTCATTCCTCCTTTTGCCCCGGTTTTCGTTCCTTACATCCAACGCCATCCCCCCCTGGTTCGATGCGTTCTTTTCTTTTCATTTTTTCCCCGCCGTCGGTGACGTTCGCTGCCAACAATGCCGCAGATTTATTGCATCGTCCTTAAACGTGGGTCATCGATCGACGTCGCGCTCGATAAATAAGACAGAAGCGAATCGGAATCCCAGGATCAGAGTTTATTTCGTGAAGAGCGATTCGGTTTGTTTAGTCGATAAATTCGTGAAACACTTAAAAAGCATTTTGTTCTAATTGGAGTCGACGCGGGCGCGTGGAAACTGTTGCAAGTATTCATCAAGGTCTCGCCGGGAAAAGTAAAGCGTCCGCGTAAATGCCGGCGCAATTATGCAAAACGTAAGTTTCTCATTACCGAAATTCCTGCACGTCTTGGTTATACAAAGACGGGCGCGACTCCGCCCTAATTAAAACGCGTAGAGAATCGCGTTTTGTTTACGATCGCAGAAGTTCCGGTCGCGTTCCCGTGGCGCGGTAACGATCTCGAAATCGATGTTCCGTTAAATGGAATAGACGGCTTGAAAAGCGTCCGCGAATACCGTTTGTATACGCGCGAGAGGCACGGTATATCCTGAAACCGTATCCCGAGACCGAGGAAGTGCCTCGCCCGTATCAGGACTCCGCCAAACGCCTCCCGAACCATTGCCAGTGTATCAGCGTAATTTAATGCACCGGCATAATGCAAATTATGCACGCCGCCGAGTACTATTTTCGTAACATGTCTCGAGTACAAATGCGACGGATTTGAATTTCCATAATCTGGAATCGATCGTACCAGGTGGCGGATACTGTTCTCAATTGTGTGAATCACGTCGTGCGAGCGAGACGTTCGAAGGGATACGTCGCGAACGACGATCGAAGTAACATGAACTCGTGACGGAACGCATAAAGTCAGCGGACATTGGGTCACTCCTTTGGGACGTGGTTCCTCGTTTCTGCGCAGCCCTGGTAATTAGTCCGCTGCCAAGGTGGACGGCTGTAGTGCTTTGGAACATAGTTTACGAGGATTCCCTAAATACGGAGTGTCTATTAGTTTCTCAACTATATCGTAGTTCATCCTCGTGAGTTCCACGTCGGAATTATTAATAGAAGTCTCAGCAAATTAATGTATATTAATAGCTGATTAAACGAAAATGATTTCGTTAAAGCGATGATTAAGCTATATAGATCTGACGGATGAAAGTATAGGTAGGTGGTCGGGACGATTTTTACATTTTTAGTTCGCTCGGTTTTAACGAGGAATAGTAGCTAGCCAGTGGTAGAGGTCGGCGTGTGGGCGGCCGTACGGCAAGTAGAATATTGCCTCTTTGGTCAGACACGCCGCAAAGCAATTACGCGTCTATATTAAAAACGCGACATCCATTTTCATGCGGTCGGAAGACAAACAAAGCGTAAGTCCGCGTTCCTTCCCGTTGAAAGTATTTCATTTATGGCGTACCAATTTCTTCTCTTCAATTGAACAGAAGATATGCGCCGCGGTCATCATCATAGTTCGTCATCGGCGAGAAAAATTGGTGAATTCACGGGCACTAGATCAATCACTATCTACTGGTAGACCGGCGGTATAGCGTGGACGCGATAGGACAGCGTTATTACGGCGGAGAGAGATGAACGGGGGACGGAAAGAGCACTCTCCCTCGCGACTATCCCGAGAATCCCGTTGCCTCGGATTGACGGTACGTGCCGGTGCCAGGCGCACGTATGAAATGCGAGATAACACGCCCACGCATCCCCGACTGCATACGGAAATGCACACACGTTCACTTGACCGCTCAAAGGTCATTCTCGAGCGCTTATATATCGATTAAGGACCAACTGACCTGAATATTCGTCTGCATGCCCGCGTACCGAACCCTCCGTTCGAGATGAATAATATGCTAGACTGCCTATCGACGTCTCCGAGATGTTCGAGTTGAAAATCGTCGTTTTAGTCAGGTTTACAAATGTAAAAATTGCCAAAGAATTCATTCATGAAATATCGTGTTAACATTTGTAACGATGTTCGTGCAACGAGTTCAACTACTGTGCAAACGGGTTAACGAAAAGTGTTTGTTGCTCGGAAATAGAACTGAGGTCGCCGATTCGACCGGATGAGGTTCGTTTCTGCTCGCGTTTATTAATTTCTGGAGCGTCGATTGCTCAACGAAAATGGAGGTGAGAGAAACCTCGGTCTATATCGTTTAATTAAGGTTTCCCTTTATTGTTCTTTCTCCATCCTCCGTTTCGCGAGCGACTCTACCCTTGACTCGGGAAATGGAAGTCGCTCGCAACGAGAGATCGCCAACACCGAGGCTCGCTATAAGGATTTGCTTTTTTTCCTCCTGGAAGTGCTTCCTGAATCCCGAAGAAGCCAACCGAGTTTCCAAGAGAACTCTCTTACTTAAACGCTTAACTTTAACTTGATCTCCCTCAGTTAATTCGAATCCCACGGAGATCTTGCCTTCGGATAATCAGATCGCCGTCGATAAAGATATTTTGTTCGATGGAAACTTAAATCACAGGCGAGCTATAGTCTCGTCGTCTCGTGGACCTTTGTCTCTCCGTTCGATCGCCTTACCGACGCGAAAAATGAAGGTTGATTCCGTTCGCGAACAGTGGTTGATTAAATTTAAACTTCACCGAAGTAATATCGGAGAACAAGAGGGATGCGAGTCCGGTTTTCCTACGTACCGGCCAAGTTTCGTTCAACTTTTACCCCGGCTAAATTGAATCGTCTGTTTGCTAATTCGTAGCGACATAAGGATTCTAAATTGTCATAATTGCGGATACTAATAACGGTTCGTTAACGTCGATTCGGGCAGAGATTGAAG